TATTCCACAGTAAAGGTAAATGAAATAAACTTCTTATACAATTATATCACAAGTACTTGAATTTAATTATATCTAATTTATAAATATACCATGCACATGAATACTTGAAAAAACTGTATTTACAAACCAATACAAAATACTTCGAGGTTCTTAAGTACTCTTCAGCATTTGCGAATTGTGCATTATATAATAATAATAATTAAAGGAACAACCTGCGATTATCAACAATCTCATCAATAAATTCATGATAAAGAAAAATTCGTTCACTCTCCATTTTTTACACTGAGTAAAAATTCACAAAATTAACCTCATAACTTAGTAAAAAAAATCACACGCTCGAAAAAATCGGGAATGATAAAGATCTTAAACGCAAGCCATAATAAGACATGCATATGCATATATCATTCGTGCGAACATTTGCGTTGGTGACAACAATCGATCAATCATTTTATTTATAAAATTTTAATTGGTAAAAACCTTTAATATCAGTTAGCTCTTGGAGAAAAAAAAAGTGTACACATTGACTTGTGTTTTTGACATTAATTATTTGTACTCTGGATCCTCTTTATGCCTTCTTCTAGAGTTGTTGGTGTTGAGACTCACGAAGTCAGGCTGGATTTTTCTGATCTTGCCACCAACGTTTTGCCGTTCGTAATCAATAAAAAACCCTCGGCTTTGGCATCTGAAAATATGAATCATTTTTTAAATGTGTAGTTATAGACATTCTTTTATATCTTAAATGAATTACAATAGTAAAAAGTCTGAGCTAAATAAAATGTTTTAAATATGTGATTCATTAGGTGCAATTATACTTTGGCATAACAAACATACTTAGCTAATTTCAATATTGCTGCATTTACTAAGCAAAGTACAAAATAAAATATATTGAGAGTTCAAAATTATCGATAAAATAAATTTAACTAATTTATCATCATAATGGAGGTGTGAAGGAATAAATTATATGATTGGAATCAGCTCAGTCTTCGCAATTTTGTTAACAGTTTTTCTAAGATGTTCACAGATACGTTGTTTTCCTAATTTAATTCGAGTTTCTCAGGGTTTTCGTATACACATCTAGAAAATGGAATTTTCTTTTTTACACATTACAGTAAAAATAAATCTAAGACAGAAGTTAGTTTTGGAAACAAAAATTTATTATTTAAAGCTATGTATATTTATTTCCCTGATTAATAGCATGAAAAAAATCATCAACTATTAGAGCATTTTTACAAAATTATTATTTTAACCACTTTTCTAACACCAATAAATTATAAAGTATCAGGTCACTGGTTAAAAATTTTACGACAGTCATTTAAATTTATTTAAAAAATAATTGAGTAGCCATAACACATCGAGCTTTTTTTAGTTTAAACAATGTTGTATATTATATTTTTAAGTATAAAAAAATACTTACATATTTGTGCTTGTTAATACTCATTACCTTGTTATCTTTTATGCACAACAAATTATGTTCTGAGCTTAACTCAATTATGTTCCATCGCCAAATCAATTTGTACTTATACATACAAAGCAAAGAGTAAAGTAAAAAGTGTTAAAATACAGATAAATAACGTTGGAGTCGTAGAAAGAAAAAAAAGAAAAGAGAGGAAGAACAATAATTCAGAAACGAAAAAAGACTCTATGTAAATAAGGACAAGTGTCCCAATCTTGCAGGCCATTAACTAATATTATAAAAATAAATATCATGGCACTCAATATGATGATGAGTCTACGCACGTATTACAATTATTATTCACGTGTAAATAGTAACGTACCGTCAGTCTCTGGCGTGGCGTGGTGTAGAAGTTACAGAATACCCCCCCCCCTGTCAGCGATCGGTTGCTACAACCGTCGACAATCAGTTCTCGTAACGGCCCCAATAGTTACTACTGCCACTTCGTCAAATCTACCGTCTTCGACAGTAATCATAACAGACTTTTTTTTCAGTGTATACGCACCTGCATAGATAATTGTCAAAGTAAAATCCAGTTGGACACTCTGTAACGGTATTACACTTGCACTTGCACTCTTCTGGCAGCCAGTGCATCCTATCGCTGTTACTTAAACATTTTTCTCTTTCGTCATCATTCTTACAGCGGCAGGTGCATTCCTTTTCATTGTACTGATCATGCTTTGAAGTGCAATGCTGAAGAAAAATTAATTCAAATTTTTTTTAACCAAAAATACATAATCATAAAATTTTTTTTAAATCTTATATTGTGTTACTGCTAGTTTTTATATTATTTTTTAAAATTAATGTAGAGCTTTTTTTATGAAAAAAAATAATACTCAATATGATTTTAGCAAAATTATCTGTCAACGAACTATTTAATCTAATTTAACACGTATATAATAATGAAACAGAAAATTTTTGAACNAAATTCTTTATTACTCTGACTTACGTTTTTTCAGTGGCTAACATTTAATTTTTGGCTTTTCTTCTTCCTCAGCAGTGAAACGAACGTTTTCAACCCTTTTTTTGTTTTATTGTTATCCGTGCGAACAGCTATAACTGTACTTATTATTTAGGGTACCAAAAACTACTGTATGGAAATCCTAGTATCATTTCTTTATTTTGTTTAGTCTCTCAGTTTCGCGATTTCAATATATCCATATCCATACGCACTTTGTACCTATACCATAATAGTCCACACATAGAACTAGCACCTTATAATCTGAAACTTTACTGTATCTTTCGCACTGATTACACTATACACGGAGATTAATTTGGTGGTATATGAAAGTTGCATCGATTGTAAAATAACACGAGTTTAACTAGTATAAACTAAGCTCGTATTATAGCTGAGGTACCTTACTTATTCTCACTTTGGCAATGCAATGACACAAGAGAGAGCCAGAACTTCGTATACGCAAAATTGATGTGTCACTCTACGCATTTACGATCGCCGAAACTCGATGAATCATCAAAAGTAGAGAACATGTTACACGAGTCTGGAAATGGCGTATTCTAATTGTGGGAATTTCAAATATTAAACTGATGATATCCATCGAGTTTAGAGGGGCTCTCAGTGGCTGACTAAGTGGTAGATCGCTTGCTTTTCGCCTGGAGGGCTCGGATTCGAGACCCCGCTCCAACCCTTCATCGCAGGTACCTATGTGGTTTTTTCCACATGTTATAATCACTGTGATAGCTTCTGGGCAGCTGGTGAAATGCTGACGGTGCCATGCTGATAGGAAAGAAAAACGGTGCCTGGATCCGAGGTGTACTTAATGCATACCGCGCCGTCGGAACAGTAAGAAGAAATAACGGTGTCTTGAGAGGGGAGGGTGGGCGATCCTTTTGTAGTAAAACCACCTCGTAAATAAAAAAAAGCATGAATTATGGCGTTCCGTAGTCCAATTTGTACCCATAGCCATTAAATACAAACAAACAAACATGGAGATTAAAAATTATTTACTGTGTACCTGTGTGTTCGAGTCTAAAGATAATTGAAAAAATTACACTTTAGTTATTCATACTTCACGTTCTTTGACTTCTGAGTTTTGAATACGATCAATGAAGCTTGAGGCTTTAAGTTTTGATATAATTATTAAAAACTAATACTATATCACATTAAATACATCCTTAATTAAACAGGCAATTGAAATCTTAATCATCCTCTCGTGCAGCGCTTGTAATTTGTGCTGATATTTTTATTACTTTCATAAAGTTTTAACTAAAATAAGATCTGGCTGTTTTTTTATCTTAAGTGATTGACTGTTACATGAATGAAGCCATTTTTTTATTGTGTGATTGGTCGAGACTAATTGTGTGACTTATTTAGCAAAATTAAAGAAAAATTTAACTTTTTAAGTTGTAATAACGTACAAAACGAAATAAGTCTACCCTGTGACTATGGTTTAAAATGATGATATTTTAGTTTGTTTGTCCTTTTAAAAAAGATATGTAAAAAAAAGTTGTATTTGTTCCAATCTTATGGAATATTTAAATACGAAAATATATTTTAATAGATATAAAAGTAGTTACAATGCCTTGAATTAAGTGAAGCGTATCAACGTNACTATAAAATCGTCAACAACAGTAGTATCTGAATCAAATCAACAAAACCATTAACAGTACTATTTCCGTAAAACTTATAAATTAAAAGAAAAGAAATTTAACACAAAACTCATTATTCGATTTCTTACCCGGTAGTTGCGCATCTGTGACTTGACAGGCTGACAGGAAATTAAGCTATTGCCACAACAGCCGCTACATCGTGGGATGCGCACACAATCTGGTATATACAAAATTTTCGGATCCACGTACGGATTCTCCTTTACAGGTACGGCTTGCATTTCGGTTTGGCAGCCGGCAGGCTTCGCTACAATGCCGCGCGATCGCTGCATACCATCTGTGAATTTGAACAACAGCACTTTTAATAAACTAGCATAGGTATTTAGTAATTAGTGTAAACGAATGCACGATTATAGTACATCTTTGGGGCAGGGAATGTGTTGAATTGATAATGGGTACTTTTTTTGGAGGACTCGTAATTTTTTAAACTTTATTCGGATAATAGTTGTTAAACACTATGTGAGTTCAGTGAAATTATTTCGCTGGAATATTCGTACGCAATCGCGGTGCTTTATTATTTTTAATTGAAATAATTACACGGACAAGCTCTTGCATACGTCAGGCAATGTAAGTTAACGTATGTATTATTCAAACATTTTCTGCTTGAGAGAAATTATAATTTTTTAATCACAGGCACTTTAAAATACTTGAAAACGATATTTTTAGATCTACAAAAGAGAGACAATTTCAGCGAGTCAAAAATAACGACTTGTATAACTTAAATTGCGTTAACTAAAAATAACAACCGTACGTATTTTGTATTTAAAAATAAAATTGATGGACTGTGTAATATAATCTACATAATTGGTCCTTTATAACACCGCTAAGTCGTTACAGTTATTTGATATTAAGATACAAAAATAGCTTAATCGCATTACAATTAATTAATCCCTGTTATACCAAAATAAATAAATCTATATTTTTGTGCACACTATAGTGGTGTATTATTTAATATGTCATTAAATTATTTATAAATTTACCCTTTTCAATTTGTTACGCCATGTATTTTTATACAGACATGAGTTTTATATTTATTAAATTATGTTACAATACTTCATGCATTGAATTATTTCTTTTACTTAAGTATCGACCAACAAAAGTGTTTTACACCTTATTCAATATAAATACACGGCTATATGCTTTGCTGCTCTAGTATTGTCAATGTACGTCTGGTTTGTAAGAGAAAAAAAAAATGTCGTTGCGTCATATTACTTGGAAGAAGACAATCAATACCTGCTATGCTTGTACGTTTGAGATTCAGGTGGTTTTTAATACTTTCTGATTTTCAAAGAAATGACGTTCTTTTTTATTTGAATTGTATCATTTATGAACAGACGCGAATGAGTGTGCTACAATTACATTTTTTAAGATTAGTTTTATATCTGTATCCATTTTATTTTTTACGATCCCGGAAGACAAGGATGTCGGAAGTATGTGTTATTTTTTAATGAATAAGTTTTTAATAAAAATATGTTAGTAAAAGTAGTGACGGAAAAAAGACGTATTACCTGGAAAAATATCTGGAGATATGGTGACATTCAGTATCTGAAGAATTTCTTCTGTCGTTTTAGCTTTGCTGACTTTTCTAGCTAATTCTATCGGTAACTGAAAATGTAAAAAGTGAAAAGTACAATTTTTATATTGTCTTGTTATAAACTTGTACATGTTAAATATAAAGTATAATTTAAAAAAAAAAAAATATGAAAAGTCCATCAAAATTTAAAACAAATGCAGGTCTGCTATTTCCTATTCCGATGCTAATATCGTACGCGATAAAATATGTAGCTTCAAAATATTTTTTAAAACCTTCAGCTGGAAGAGTAAATTATACAATCACGCGTAGGTAGTTGTCAGCTAAACTTTTAAACTTTAATTTGAATTTTAGTGGTTAAAAAAACCATTTGACAGTCACGTTCATTTACCATTCACATGATCTCTCCTTTGTTCTCTATTGAATAACAAATTTCAGTATAAAAGATAAGTTCCATCGCTTCTGTTGGGCTGCTGTTATCAATCGCGTTAGGTACTACACGCGGCTCTTTACACTTGCGTCACATCAGGTGACCAATAACGATACCTTACTTTTTATTCTTAGTGAATCGTGTTATCTTTCCTATTCGTTGATAAGTAATGACTCAGAGGGAATTCAAACATTACAATGGAGCACTTTGAAGTATAGGTACACGCAAGGCTTGAGCGTAAAGAGAGAAGTAACAAACGATCGTGCATGTTGCAAAATGTGCTTGGAATCTTTAAACATCGACACTCGAGGTAACATTTGTCGTACGTAGCCTTCCAAGACTTGACTTTTGATTTTTGGCTGTGTACGCAAGTACATGTAATGAACGCACTGTACATAAATAAAAATAAAAATGATAGTTAAAATAGCTAATTGAAGATAGATTTTTATAGGTGATGATATCAGTTGATAAAAGGTGCACTGAGTTGAAAATAAGTTGTTTGACACAAAAATTTTTAATAGTTCAAACAAATCTTAATTCAATAAAAGTTGGCCTATGGGTCAAAATAATTATCTGATTGATGGGGATTACAATAACTAATAATACTCAATATGATTTTAGCAAAATTATCTGTCAACGAACTATTTAATCTAATTTAACACGTATATAATAATGAAACAGAAAATTTTTGAACAAATATAATATTAAGTATTTCAATAAAAATAAATAAAAGTGTAGGACTTCGCTTAACATTGAACTTAATTGATTTTAATGACTGACTCCAAAAAAAAAATTTGTTTTTATTATCAATAATTGAAATGACAAAAACCTAATGTAAAAAATATTCATCAATAATTTTTCACTATAAGATTCGTTACACAATAAAACTATCAAAACCATTAAAAAATGTATTTGATAGTAAATAAAAAAGTAGAGTTACAGTCACTTAGTACAAGGCTGATTGTATAGTTTTACCTGTTCTGTAATTTTGCACTTGCAGTCGCATTCAATATGTTCCTCGATTGGTATGATTTCAACGCTTTGTTGAAACGTGTGCATCTTTAATTTCATAACCTGAAAGATGTGTTAAATGGATTAATTTAGTTTAAAATTCCTTTTTTAAAGATCATAATTTATTTTGAAACCCTGAGAGTTTCATGATGAAAAAAAAAAAAGAAGAAAAATTGTCTATCATTTATTAGCACAGCTCTGCGTCCACATGCATTTATGATCAGTTAACATAAGTCAACATTTATATTCCACAGTAAAGGTAAATAGTACATCAAAATTAATTGTGTTGGGTTATACCGCATTGTTTGTTGGTTGGTTTTTTTTTTTTTTTTTTTTTTTTTTTTTTTTNCGATGTTATACTAAATTGAAATACAAACAACTAAAATAAAAAAATTAGTCAATATACTTAAAGTAAGCTATTCAATACCAAATTATAAAAATTGAATGAAATGTATGCCTTTAAAACAGATTCATGCAGATGGTGGACTAAATAAAATTGATTTCTATTTTAATTATCAATGTTCGTAAAAATTTATTATATTTTATTGTTGATCAAAACAACTTTTAACTCATAATTAAATTGAAATGTAGGTTGAAACAACATTGAATGAATAATTTAATTTACATGTTAATTTCAGTACAAATCAATTAAAAAATGCATTGTTTTTGTTATTGTTCAATTTCAAGTTAAAATATTCAAGATCTTTTGGTTAGACTCACTATTTTATGAGTTTGGATCGAGAAATATGTAGTTGTACTTTATTTTTTATTGATTTTTTGGTAATCTTTGAATATAAATGCTATATTATACATATGCAATTGCATTTAGGCCAAATAACTTTATATTTTATATTGAAGACTTTTACTATATATTGTGACCCACAAAATTTTTGTATAATCTACTAAAGATAACACATGATATTATCGAAACAATTGTATCGGCTTTAATTATATCAGATTATTACTGTCGTATTGATTTACATAAATCAATGTAAATCATTTAATCTTAGTAAAAAATAAAAATAAAAATAAATTGATCTTTGCTTATACTTTTTATAAAATTGAATATTTACTAAAATCTCACTAGTGTGAAAGTAATATTTATTAAATTTTCAACATTTTAGGCATATTGCTATATGACATAATTAAAAATTATATCAACAATCTACTGAATCTACCTAAGCCAATCTCCCATGCTTAATCCAGATCATCAATTAAAATCGTATGAGACATATCCAACTCACTAATGTATGATAGGTTACTTAATTTATATACATTTTAAAACTGTTATACTATTTAGCAATACTTGCACAAATTCCAGTATTACAATGTATATTACTTAAATATTTTTAATTGACATGATTCCACGTCGACGTAATTGACATATACTATTTTTATTGAAGAGACAGAAAAACTTTTTCTCAACCTCTGAAAATTCTTTGAATCACAGGTATACATATAATCAAAATTAATTATATCCTCGGCCATACACTACAATGGATAGTAAGCGACAATACATCCACTCTCTTCGAAATCATAAATATTATTACCATTATCATTATATTGCTTACATTACAAACCTAAGCACGGAGCAGCACACTTTTTTTTACGTACAGGTATCTCCGACTCACCTGCAGCTGTTGCTGCTTATCCTCGGCATCAATGCATTACGTGTATACCTACATCCACAATACTACTCGACCTTCTCAGCTTCATGCGTGTATACGTGTCTGTCTGTTGTTATAGGCATGCCTGTGTATGATAAATATGTGCAGAGTTTTTTTGTGATGGACTTGTGATAAAAGCGTTACTTTAACTATATCAATTTTTTGTTAAATTTAGTAGTTCCTGAACTACAAATACAATACATAATTTTGTATTATTTCATTTCATTTATGCCAAGTTTGGGGGTACAAGTTCATAAATAATTATAAAAATTTCTTACAGGGGAATCTTTTTATCAATTTTTATTGAGATCGAAATAAAATGTTAGAATAATAACCGAGGTGAATCGCCTCTCATTATCTTAAACGTATGGGTGTGTAGGTCCGTATAGTGTAGGTGTGCTGTACCGTGGAAGTTTTATCTATGTAATGTATGTATTATGCAAAGGCGTTTTCTCTGTGTTTGCAGGACCGCGTTGGTGTAACTTCAATTGTCGTGCATGGACGCAGAACTATTATCTGAATAAATTTTCAGGCTTCGTTTGAAAACAAGGTGTGAATCCTATTCGTTGGGTTATTTCAAGTGTTTTTTTTTTTTTTTTTTTTAATCCAGTTTCAATAAGCTACATTTTTACACTTTATAAATAAATCTTGAAATCAGATCATTTGTTTTTTTAGCTTTTTTATAGCTTTAGATATTCTTATTTAGAGTTTGTAATTTACTGATGTTCAATAATTAAAATGATACGTTTATTGCAAGTGCACCGTAATTCAGGTTCAAATGGATGTTACGATTTTCATAAAAATTTGTGTTAAAAAATGACTCACAAGCTGTATGGTATCAGATTTTTAAATCAGTTTATTCTTAACTAAACAACTGGCATCCAAGTTTGCACAGCGTTTATCGTGACAAAATAAAAAAAATACTATACGATATAATATTATCCGCCACTTGAGTGCCTTGTGAATCTGATATCATTTAAAAGGACTATAAATGCAAGATAAGCTCTGACTCATTTTTGAAATAATTGTTTATAAAATGTTTATTAAAAATACTTCTCATATTCGATGTATTCGATACATCTATTCCAAATTATTACGTTGTATCAGAAGTTATGTGGGTTTCTTGAACTATCTATAAACTAAATAGAGAACTGTGGTAAAGATTGATTTATTTTGTTTAATTTAATTTATCTGCGGAAAACAACATGTGTATCTGTGTCGCGGGCTCGGTCTTTTCACTCTCGCTTATTTTTACTAAATTTTTACGCTTGACCGCATTCCACAGTTTTTTTTACTTTTTTCAATGCCATAAAGTTTGTCTTTCTAATTACCTTCATAAAAGTATTATCTTTATTAACTCCCGANTAAATCATTTTTGTTGGGGGAGACTCATCATCTTGCTAGATCTATATGTAAACCGTGAATTTTTTTGACTTTAAAAAGGATAAAAAAAATGATAGAAAAATAAATAGTTACTGGTTGGATAAAAACGATAATTAGAGAATTATTTATAATTGATCTGATAAAAACGCGCTCCTTATTACTTGCATGATGAGCTTTTAGTGTTCGGATCAATTTGAACTGTAGTGAAGCATCTCTGTCTGCCACTAACACAGCTTTTAACTTTTGTATGTTTTTAATCACTCGCATTTTAAGTTGTCTTATCAAATTTCATTTACTACACCTAACTGTATCACATTTATTAATTTATTAAATTTTTTTTGTTTACTCACAATTTTTTTTAAGATAAAAAAAAAAAAATATCATTATGTTCATATGTTTGGTGTGGCAAAAAGTTATGAGCATATTGATAAACTTTTAGTTGCAAACGAAATTATAATCTACTAAAATTCATGGTATTGCAGAAACGAATATGAAAGCAGCACAATTTCTGCTAATGCATTATTCTTGCTTCAAGTATTTTCTCGACTTGATTTTATGAATTTTATTTTCTTCAATACAAACA